GTGTTAATATTGGAGTGTCCTGATGACAGCTGGCCTGTGTCAGTCTTGGGGTGTCTCGATGAGAGCTGGCCTGTGTTAATATTGGGGTGTCCCGATGACAGCTGGCCTGTGTCAGTGTTGGGGTGTCTCGATGAGAGCTGGCCTGTGTTAGTATTGGGGTGTCTCAATGAGAGCTGGCCTGTGTCTGTGTTGGGGTGTCTTGATGAAAGATAAAGTCTCCTTTCTTTTTCAGAAAAGCCGTTTCAAATCCTCTGCATCATTCTGTCATTTTCTGCTTGATGTTCACCTTAACTCCTCTACTCAATGTAAACAGAAACGTCACAGCCTTAAGCACTCAGCTCTCTACAAGAAGAGGACTGAAGGAAGAACAACAAAGATGATCATGTTTCCTAAAACAGACATCTCATCTCCTACACTGGAGATGCACCTGAGTCTTTACCTCCACACCTGTGAGATCTCATCTCCTACACTGGAGACACACCTGAGGTCTTTAACACTTGTGGAATCTAATCTTGCTCACAGGTCCCTGGTGACTTGATTGAATTTACTCCTGAAATAAAATTCAAGAGCAAAAAAGAAACCTACAGGTACCTGATAATAAATGTAGTTTCCTGCCCTCCCAGTGAGGAGCTGTCAGTTGTCAGTTCGGCTCACTTGCACAACAGCGGTCTAGGTGAACTTAATTTCTCACAAGGCCACTGGTCTACTTCCTGTGCCGCTCCTCCCTCCGATTCGCTAAGCTGCCCGTCAATCGTAATATCACCCCGGTCCCGCCCAGTACCTTGTGGCATCTTGGCAGAAGCGCCCTGTTGCTATGGCAGTGGACTCGCAGTTTATCTGTGTGAATAAAACTCAGCAGGAGGGATTTTCACAGTCGCCTCTTTTCCCAGAGACTCTCCTGTGACCGACAGCTTCACGGAGAAATGACCTTAAATAGATACATCGTTCAGTCTCGCCTGTCACTACGCTCTCCTGTGTACTTTTAAACCAAACTGAAACTTTAACACTTGGAGCACTCATATCCTGTAACATTAGTCATTAAAACAATAACGACAGGATTTCCTTTAGTAGTTTAATTCCTCTTAGCTAAGGATTAAGCTCAGGCTGGAACGCAGTCAACATCAGTAACAGTTGCATTTTTCTGAGTAACAGAAATGTTCTCTCTCTGAAAAGTATCGTGTTTACTTAATAATAATAATTACTTACACTTTTATAGCACTCATCTGGATACTCCACTCAGAGCTCTTTCCAGGTCATGGGGATCCGCTCCACCCCCACCAGTGTGCAGCCCCACCTGGATGATGCGCCAGTCCGCTCCCCACACACCAGCTCTCAGTGGGGAGGAGAGCAGAGTGATGAAGCCAGTTCATAGATGAGGATTATTAGGAGGCCATGATGGGTAAAGGCCACAGGGGAATTTGGCCAGGACACTGGGGTAACACCCCTACACATTTCAAGAAACATTCTGGGATTGTTAATGACCACAGAGAGTCAGGACCTCAGTTTTATGTCTCATCTGAAGGACGGCGCCTTTTTACAGTATAGTTTCCCAGTTACTATACTGGGGCATTAGGACCCACACAGACCGCAGTGTGAGCGCCCCCTGCTGGCCCCACTAACACCTCTTCCAGCAGCAGGTACTGACCAGGCTCACACCTGCTGAGCTCCCGTGGGGCTGCCAATTATGACTTACAGGGTGATATAGCTGCCGTCCATCTAATGACAGATCTCTACAAACAAATAATTAGGTAAATATATAAACTTTTAAATCTCAACATTTAACTATTATTCAAAAGTTAGGGTTTCTTAAGACAACCATTTTAGTATGGAAGTGTGGAATCTCTATATTTCTGTGTCTCCAGTGTCAGTGCTGTCTTTGTCACACGGTCCTGCCCTCTATGTGTCACTACAGTATGGAAGTGTGGAATTTCTTTATTTTGTCTCCAGTGTCAGTGCCTTGATGTCTGTGCTGTCCTGCGCTGTCCTCTGTCTCTGTGCAGTGTGTTGAAAGTGTGCTGTCCTGTGGTGTCCTTTGTCTCTTAGCAGTGTGTTGACAGTGTGCTGTCCTGTGATGTCCTCTGTCTCTGTGGAGTGTGTTAACAGTGTGCTGTCCTCTTTCTCTGTGCAGTTTTGACAGTGTGCTGTCCTGTGCTGTCCTCTGTCTCTGTGCAGTGTGTTAAAAGTGTGCTGTCCTGTGGTGTCCTCTGTCTCTGTGCAGTGTGTTGACAGTGTGCTGTCCTGTGCTGTCCTCTGTCTCTGTGCAGTGTGTTGACAGTGTGCAGTCCTGTTGTGTCCTCTGTCTCTGTGCAGTGTGTTGACAGTGTGCTGTCCTGTGCAGGTATCTCTGCTCGTCCGCGGGTCAGTTCTGGTGCCGTGTCACTGGGCTGGTGTTTGTGATGGCGTCAAGGGGCGAACTGGAGTATGAGACCACACACTGGGACATGGGGCTCCTGTCCCCCACTGGCCAGCATCCTGCAGGACCCCTGTTTGACATCTGTTGCCCCCAGGGGGCGCTGACGGAACTGCAGCTACCTCACTGCGAGATTGATGACCGTGAGTCTCAGACGATTTCAACAGTTTCTGCATTGACTCTGGTCTTGTCCAGATTGACTGTCAGTGCCAGGGTCTGACAGTACTGCTCCAGCAGTGCCAGGTTCTGTTGCAGCCCCTGTTCTGTGGGCGACAGCAGGACCAGGCCATCTGCGTAGAGCAGGAACTTGATTTCTGTGTTGTGTAGTGTGAGACCAGGAGCTGCAGACTGCTCCAACATTCCTGCTAATTCGTTGATATAGATATTGAACAGTGTTGGGCTCAGGCTGCAGCCCTGTCTTACCCCACGGCCTTGGGTGAAGAATTTAGTCCTTTTGTTTCCAGTTTTCACTGCACATTTGTTCTCTGAATACATTGATTTAATTATGTCGTACACTTTGCCCCCTATGCCACTTTGGAGTAGTTTATAAAACAATCTCTCATGCCAAATCGAGTCAAATGCTTTTTTGAAATCGACAAAGCAGGCAAAAATTTTACCTTTGTATTTTTGGTGGACGTGTTTGTCTATTAGTGTGTGTAGGGTGTAAATGTGATCAGATGTGTGGTGATCTGGCAAGAAGCCAATCTGACTCTTGCTCAGGACATTGTGTTCGGTAAGGAAGGCCTGTATTCGTGTATTTAGGATACTGCAGAATACCTTCCCCAGGTAACTGTTCACACAGATGCCCCGGTAGTTGTTGGGATCGAGTCTGTCTCCACTCTTATAGATGTGTGTAATCAGTCCTTGGTTCCACGCCTCGGGGAAACATCCAGCTGTCATGATGAGATTGAGGAGTTTGAGCAGGGCTTGTTGCAACTTTGGGCTGCTGTGTCTCAGCATCTCATTTATGACTCCATCATGGCCACAGGCTTTGCGTGGTCTGAGGGCCTGGAGTTTGTCCAGCAGCTCCTGCTCAGTAATTGGGGAGTCTAAGGGGTTTTGGTTGTCTTTGATAGCCAATTCCAAAATTTTGAGTTTTTCATAAATGGTGTTTTGGTCTGATTGATTTGTATTTGGGAGCTTTTCATAGAGATTTTCAAAGTATGTTTGCCAGATTGTTCCATTTTGGATGGCCAATTCTTCTGGGTTTGATTAGTTTAAATTGTTCCACTTCTCCCAGAAACAGTTCTGATTTAGTGACTCCTCAATTTCTGCAAGTTGTTTGTTTATGTATGTGTTTATTTTCTTTTTCAGCGTGTGTTAGTAAAGTTTTACCATGTCATAGTATCTGAGGTGTAGATCTGTGTTGTGTGGTTGTCTGTGTTTTTCATTTCAGACTTTTAGTAGTGCATTTCTGATGTTTTAGCACTCCGTATAAAACCACTTTTCTTTTGCTTTTGTTTTTTGGTAGTTTTTTTATTTAGTTGTATTTAGCTTAGATTTTGATGCTATTTTCTGGAATAGGTGATTTAGTTTTTGTGTGGCCACATTTATGCCTAATTTGTTTGTTTGATACGGAGTGTTTAGGAATGTGTCCAACAGTGTCTGAATTTCGTCATCGCCCAGTGCAGTTTGGTATCTGTCTAGGCTGTCTGTGTCCCATCTGTATGCCTGGTTGAGGTCATACAGCAGGCTGGACTGTGTCAGTGTGTCTCTGTGCTGGTGTGCTCTCTTCATGTAGAGTGTGATCTGGCTGTGGTCAGAGAGGGGAGTTTGTGGCCTGACAGTGAAGGCACTGATACAGGAGGGGTCCAGGTCGGTGATGGCGTAGTCCACCACACTGCTGCCCAGAGCTGAGCTGTCTACCTCTCCAGCACTTCCTGTCTCTGTCTGTCTCTCCAACACTTCTTGTCTCTCTATCTCTCCAGCACTTCCTGTCCCTCTGTCTGTCTCTCCGCCACTTCCTGTCCTCTCCTCCACAGGTCACCAAGCAGCAGGAGAGCAGCAGCTCCTTCATTCAGACAAGCTCGAGCTGTAAGCTGAAACCGCAGGCGACGTACAGAGTGTCCAGCAGCAGCAAGGAGACTGAGATAATCCAGCCTGAGGTAATGGTTCCTCTGTGATAAAGATGGAGATTATTGGCTTTCATGACCCAAACTGCTGAGAGAGCATGAGGGAGAGACTGAAAGATCTAGAGAGAGAGAATCAGGAAAGACTCGGGTCAAGAAAGGATGATCTGAGTATCATCAGTATCATCAAAACAATGAAACAGGTGGACCCATCCAGCAGATACACAAAGAAAGGAAGGGGCCCCAGTACTGACCCGTGAGGAACACCAGGGGGGAGAAGGCCAGATGAAGCCTCACCAGGACACTTGGAAAAAGCAGTTAGAGAGACAGGAAGAGAATCAGCCAAGAGCAGCACCTGAAATACCCAGGACAGGAAGAGGATGTGGCCAGTCATGTCAAAGCAGAGCAGAGTCACAGTCACACAGATCAGAGCCGTGTCTTCAGAGGGAGTCCAGCTGACTTCATGCTCAAAAAGGATTTGCCTGTGTGACAGACTGCTAGCTCTTTAACACAGCGTTGGTGTTGTTCTTCCAGTCTGAGTGCTTTTACTGCAGTTATGGCCCGAATTTCCACCCTACGTTATAGGTGGTCCTGGCCCATGGTGTGATGAGTCTGGTCCTGGTGTTGCTGAAATGCGGCACAAGGACAGGAGAGGAGAGGGTGTGGAGCTGCATTGCGGAGCTGCCAGGTAACAGTAGACAGGACTCGCAGGGACCTGAGGTTCTGCTGCAGAGAGGAGGACTGGGATCAGTGGAGTGAAGTGAGGTCACTGATGGGATTCCTCATGTCTTTGTGCTCTACTGGGTCTCTCCACAGGCAGCACACTGAGAGTCTACGGAGGCATAATTCTGTAAGAATGGGTATTGAGCTGGACAGAGTGAAGTGTGTCTCCTGTTGGTGTTGATCTATACAAAAGTGAACTGTGTCTTTACAGGAGACTGTGTCGTGTGGGTGTAGTGCTGTTCAGGGTGACCAGTGTCTTTACAGGAGACCGTGTGTCCAGTGGGTGTTGTTCAGGGTGAACATGTCTCTGTCTCTTTCTCTCTCTCTGCAGTCCCTGCTATTCGGACCAGGACTCTGGAGTTTCCTGCCCCTCAGAGTGAGTCCCTCTGTCCTCTTTGAGTATCTAGAGCCCTTGTGTAGGAGCAGCCAGTAGAAGGGTGTCTGCGTGTTTGATTCAGGAATCGCACTCATCAGCAGAGAAGGGTGGGCAGGAGCCTTGAATGAAGTGATCAAAGAGCTGGAAACAGATGAGTACAAGAAGCTGAAGAACATCCTGCACCAGAAGGGGATGGCCCGGGGTACGCTGGGAGACACCGAGAAGCAGGACCTGGCCCACAGGATCGTCTCCCACTTCGGAGCGGAGGCGTCTGTTTGCATCGTTCAGGAAGCCATGGGCAGAATTCCTCGGCGATACAGGAATTACTGAAGCCCTTTGTGGAGCAGCTGAGATAGAGCATAAGGGCACCCTGTAGGACTACAGTGTTTCACCATGAGGGAGTCATTCCTGAGCGACACACAGTCGTCCTCTCTCGGCTCACAGCGACGCCCCTGAGCCACACAGAGAGAGCATAAGGAAGATCACACAGGCTCCTCTGAGCCTGCACTGATCCAGCCCGTGAACACAGCAGAGCTCCCACTCTGTAGCCTGATGCCCTCAGAGCTCAGCAAGGCTGGGATATTGTAAGGAAACCAGCTGCTGCTGCTGTGTGTGGAGGTTGTGAACCAGAAGGTGGCGCTGTTCCCTCTGGAGCTCTGTGACCCAGGACAGTGAAGAGGGACACTGTGCTGTTGGAGGTGCTGCACTTCAGATGAAACTTCTATAGCACCAAGGCGTATCATAAACGTATCCCAGTAATCTCTGCCCTTGAGTGAACAACAGTCCAGCTCTGCTGAGTCCAGCCCCTGGGAGTGTGTCCGAGGTGGTCTTCTCTGATGAGCACCAGGTCCAGACTCCAACACAAACCAGGGGGTCCATTTTGACATCTCCCGTGACAGGAAATACCCGTGTGGACATGCTGGTGGGGTGACGGGTCTCCTCTGGAGTTGAGCTCTAGCTGGGGTAACCAGTCAAACATCTGAAAGATGACCGGCCAATGAGGAGCCTGAAGAGCTACACCTGATGACGTCACAGCCAAGCAGCAGACGTGATCAGTGGACTTGAAAAGGTACCTCCGCAGAGACTGAGGGAGAAACTCTAGAAGGAGCAGCAGAACTACCTCCGCAGGATGGAAGAGGAGATCCAGACATGAGATGAGAAGATCAGAGTGCTGGAGGAGTGGAAAGCAGAGGTGGAGGAGAGGCTGAGGGAGGAGAAGGAGGAGGGGAGGAGGAGAGAGCTGGAGGAGGAGTTGAAGAGAGATATAGGCTGGAGAGAGAGATGGAGGAACTGAGACAGGAGCAGGAGAGGGAGAGGAGAGAGAGAGGAGACACACAGGAGGGAGATGGAGGAGCTCAGGCAGCTCTATAAGGAAAAGGCCAGAGAGGTGGCCGAGACACACACAGAGACTGTCACGATCGCTACTCTCCCTCTTAAGGGCGCTCCAGCCCTTCCTCGTTTTCCCCCATTGCTTACACCTGTTCCTTTGCCCAGCCCCTCTTTAGTTCCAACCTTTAAAGCCAGATGCAGGCATTTGCCAGGGCGTCTCATTGAATCCCGTTTCGTGAGAGCCCGGGGTCCTGCTGCGTCTGGCTCCATCATGGTTTTAGTTTCCTGTTCCTGATTCCCTGCCCCACTGGTTCCGACCCGGTTCGTGTTTTTAGTTCCTTTGGATGGATTCCCTGGTTTTGGACTTTGCCTCCCATATTGGATCCCCCCTTTAGATATACCTTTGGATTGTTTGCCTTGGATTAATTCCCCCTGGACACCCGCACTCCTCGGACACGCCCCCCGTCACCCGACCCTTCTCCTGCATGACTATTTTCCCTAATGTATCCTCACAATTCCGGATCGTGTCGTCCGCATTGGGCCCGGAAAGAACTGATCGTTACAGAGACTCTCCAGCAAGTCAGTGTCGACAACACAGTTCACTCCAGCAGGACAGGAGCACAGGAGCTGCAGGAGGGAGATAGAGGAGCTGAGAGAGACAGTAGAGAGACACAACGAGACAGTAGAGAGACTCAATTCAGTTGAAGACAAATACAGTACAGTAGTTTGGTATTTCAGTCCCCCGAAGCAGAAAAGACATACAAGAGATACAGGGGTGTGAATGAGAAGCTGAAGCAGCACAAGAGAGAAAGGCCACAGAAGATGATTGAGAGAAGGTGTTGCTCACTTAAAACATTCTCTGATCTTCTGAACTTATATGTTACTGATGTATTTAACCTAAATGAAATGAATTATGTTTAAAGAGAACAATAACAGCAGCTTTGCTCCCTCCCATCTTGTATCCAACCACAGAAGTCTCCCATCTGAAGCCCCTCCCTCTTCCCTCATCCCACTTCCTGTCCCTGTGGCGACTCCAACATGGCGGAGACGTTATCTTAGCTCAATACTTCTCTTGAAGAAGGCTCCTTTTGCCAGTATTATTGTGTAATGACATGTGATTGTGTTGCCAAGTGCCTTGAAAATGTTTACAGATGAAGGTTTTTCTATTAACTGTAGTCAGCTGAATTCCAGCATTATTATCCTTTGTTGGAAGACAAACATTACCAAGAGAACGGACAGTGCAATAGTGTTACTTTATGTGGTGCATTGAAATGTTGAGATTTAATGTGTACATACAGTAATTGGAAGAAACTATTGAGATATTTCACTGTGTATCAAACAGTATTTATGTATAAGGATCTTTCTCCTGTTTTTATACCTCATCAGTTTAATGGACCAGTATTCTTAAGAAACCCCAGCAGTCTGTAAAGCCTGACATAGACTCATCAGAGAGGCTGGACTCCAGAGTCAGGGGAAGTGAGACTACACTGGGCACTATCATGTGATGCAGACCAGCTCAGTGCTGTTAACCCCAGCAGTCTGTAATGCCTGACAGAGACTCATTGAGAGGCTGGACTCCAGAGTCAGGGGCAGTGAGACTCTACACTGGGCACTATCAGGTGATACAGACCAGCTCCACGGCCGAAATGTTGTGTTTTCTTTCTTCTTTTTTTCAGCATGGAATAAACGTATTACTTGTTCCTTTGCAGCCTACGCATGCTGACGCAGCTCCCCACCTGAACTACTAGTAGCTATTGCCTGCTGCGGTGAAGCATTCAGTCAAGGTTTCACTTAGAGTGAACCACCTGCCTCCATGAACTTGTCTAAAACAGCCGTGGTTGAAAATACCAGGCTCACAACTGCTGTGGTACAGAAATAACATATGAGGTATTAATAAATATTTACATATAAACTACGGGCTCAAAGAAGCTTTAAAAAGCTGGAAGTGATATTAGAAAACAGTTCACACTGACGAAGTTTACTCATATTTAATACTGTCTCCATTTAATAAAGGAACAAGTAATAGGTTTATTCCATGCTGAAAAAAGAAGAAAGAAAACATAACATTTCGGCCGTGGAGCCTACTTCACACCTGAAACCTACAGTATTACTTGTTTTATCTTGTATATATATTTTTCATTTATTGCTGTTGTCATTCAGTAAAGCGCTTTGAGAAGCCACCTTTAAAGGCGCTATATAAAATAAAGTTTATTATTATATAAAACTCACACAAACACGACCCGGCGCTTCAATGTCAGCTCTTGTCCACTCGTGTGCTTCTGCACCGACAGCTGTCTCCTGTCCTCAGCTCGAACTGCAGTTACACACGAACTGGACCTGTCGAACCTGCTGTCGGGCTGCAGCGAGTTTTTACTGAAGCGGAATGAATCCGGATCGGAGCCGCCGGACTGTCAGCGGGCCCGTCGTCATGGAAACCGGACCGACCGAACCTCCTGTGATTGCCCTCCCCTGCTGGTCTAATAAGAATAATAATTATGATAATAATGATGATGCTAGCCGTCTCTCTCACCAGTGTCCTCTGGTCCGGGGGAGTTAGAGTTTATCTGAGAAACTGTCTTTCACACCGAGTCTCTCCGGGAGCGGACCCGTCTGTGTCCACACTCCTGTCGACAGCAGGGCCCTTTTTTCCCTCAGGAGAGGAGGCGCTCCGGGTCCGGAGGAGCTGGAAGATGAAGATGGTCCAGATTCACGGCTTGGATTTGATTTGATTTTTATTTTATTTGTGTTTTAATCGCGCGGAGCTCCGGGCGACCGTTAAGATTCGAACAGCTGGCGCGCGCCGGTCCGCCGAAGTCACGAGATCATTCAAGTGCATTATAGTTGTTATTATTATTACCACCAGTACAAAATCACCGCGTTTTAAACCAGTTTGCACTTAAACCAGTTTACAGTTTAACCAGGTTACACTTAGAGCGAACTACCTGCCTCCATGAACTTGTTTAAAGAAGCCGTGGGTGAAAACACCAGGCTCATATAACTGCTGTGGTACCGAAATACAATATGAGGTATTAATAAATATTTATACAGTATCTGTTCATATCACTGTGTGACTGCAGAGGGCTGGGACTGGTGTGGTCAGTGGCTGTAATGACTGTATTCCTGTGTTTCTAGAAGCTGTGGTCAGTGGACAGTGGCTATGGTGTCAGAAGGCAGAAAAAGGAAAAAATTAAAACAAAAAAAATCAGGATCTTAGAAATTAAATGAAAATAACCAAGTAATAAACTTGACTAGGGAGGAACGCGATCGCTAGGTTCGCAGGGTTTAGCTGTAATGACGGAGTGGAGATTCAGTGTTCTGGGGTGAGTTTTCCGAAAACTATGAACTTTAGAGATTAACGAGCAACTTTACGATGCACCTACGTAATGTACGTGCTACTTTTTGTGCGTTTCTCCAAACTCCTCTTCATCGGACATTTTACGAGCGAGTATTAAGTACTTCTTTGTGAACCCCGCCCCTGAAGTCGCTTAGCAAAAAGCATCACAAATCGATTGACAATACTTTCATTATATGGTGTCGGTTTTGTCCGTCAGTGGGATGAAATAAAGTTGTGAAAAGGAATATGAAGTAAACACGACATCATAATTTAACAACCAATTTAGCGAAATCGTATAGATAAAGTAGGTACAAAATGGGACACTCTTGTTTCTAAGAGAAAATAAAATAAATGACTGACATGCCGTAAAACAAAACCAAGATGGACTGCGTGGACAGTGTATGCGTCCTGCACAGCTTCTTTGATTTAAATGTTTTGGCCCGCTGCCATTGTTAAGAATCATGGCGTTTCATGAGTAAATACTGCTATTTATAGTTATTGGGTGTATTGGAAGTACATTTTAATTGGTCTTATTAACATGACATCTGGAAAAATCAACTTCTAAGCTTGACGTGTTACTTAACAAATGCAGGACCTATAATTAAAATTTAAAAACAAGTAGGTCTAAGCTTTACCGTCAACAATCACGACAGAATATAAAACAGTATTCGAAATTTAAATATAAATAAATATTAGGTCCAATTATTTAACTTAAATAATGCATTACTGCATTTCATCATGAAAATCATATAATCTAGTCAAGTATAAATCTTAGCATTGTTATAAATTAAATGTATTGTAATGGATTGGGGTTCTCTGGGGTCCCCGGCGTCACGCATCAGAGAGCTGCTGGCTCAGCTAAAGGAGATTTACATTGGTCTAGGCGGCTGAGCTTCTTGTTATGCACAGGGGCATATTTGTACACTATAACAAATTTACATATACAAATAGAGGAGAAAATACAGATAAAAGAGGGAAAACATAACCTGAACAAAAAAAATACTAGCGGTAATGAGGTAAACATTTATGTAACCAAGTTATATTTTTACATATATCAAATGGTTTCCTTGCTTTAGCATTTTTCACGTTTATATAGAATTTAAATAAAATTTTAAATCAAAAGTACTAAAAAGGGAAGTATTATTGGACCATTTGACTCATGAATATGAAATTAACCCAGGATGACTAATACATTCATTTCTGTATAAAAAAGAGTACGACAAAATATCAAAATCCTTAATATAAAATTATAGTTTTCTAAATATCCTTAGAATTCTCATGACGTGAATTTAATGTGTTCTGCCTGGCGAACTCTGCCGCTAAGGTTGGCGCAAGAAGTAGCCAGTTTAAGAAGCACTTAGTGATTAACGAGTGGGTCGGGGAGCACGTAGATTACGAAGGATTTAACATGCTACTTTAGTTACGATGGCTTTTGGGAAACAAAGATCGAGTTTACGATGTTCTAAGCGCTACAATGCTTTCGGGAAACTCACCCCTGAACAGTTTCAAATAAAGAGGTGATTACAGTGACTTGGAGTCTGAATGAAAGACTTAAGGTTAATTGAAAGATGTCCTGACGCAGTCTGAATGACAGGCTGAGCACTCGAGGGAATGCTGCTGTTGACGCGAGTCGGTGCCAGCCCAGTCTGTACATGAAGTACATAAACTTACTGTCCAGCCCACATTTACAGTAACTATATTTATTTAATTAGATTTGTTCTTTTTGATTAAATGTTCATTCACCTTCAGTTTGGAGTGTGAAATATTTTTTCCATCATATATTAAAATTCATTGTAATACTACTTTTTATTTATATATGATTTTTGCTCTGATAACGATAAATATGTGAACAATTAGTTTTAGCTTTTACCTCTCAATATCTTAATTTAATAATATATTCTAAAAGCACAGTGCACAGGTTGTGTTTATTAATCATTCTTTTTAAAATTCCATGAAAAATGATCCCTATCATTAGTTATCTAAGACTTACAAACAACAATTAATTTAGCTGTGAAATATCAGTCAAATGCAGAATTAACATTTGTTTATACACAATGTTCAGTTCCTGTTAAATTCTTGTTGTAGTTTATAGTAATTAATGTTAAATTCTGCATTTTCTAACTTCTAAAGCAGTAAAGAATTAAACCTTTATCTCTTTAAAACAGGGGTGGGGAACGTCCGGCCCGCGAAATCATTTGGTCTGGCCCTGCCAAGGCAACCGCAGGCGTAGAGCCTGGCGATAATTCTTTAACGATAATTATCGCGATATAATTTTCCTTTTAACAATAATTCGATAAATGTTCAAGCTTTACGCATGAAACGCGCATGAGCACTAAATACTGCGCGAGTGCGCGTTGCACGCCGGGCAGCTAACAGATTTGTTTCATGTTTCTGCTGTTTGGCAAGTGTTGTGTTCTTAAAATAAAGAGTTGTTTAATTCACCAATTTAACTGTCTGGTTTCTTTAACTTTCACTCAGGAAAAAAAAAAATCTGCCTTTAAACTTGAAAGAAATAATGATTTGACATTTATCGTGATAATTATCGATATCGACTGATATGAAATTTTTTATCATGATAATGTTTTTGGCCATATCGCCCTGCCCTACGCGGGCGGGACTTGAAATTCAATAAATCTAGGAGCTTTTTTCATAGCAACATAAATTTATATTAAGTGAATCATAATAATAACGTAAATTTTGATGGACAAGCTAGGAACGTCCATTACTGGATAGACAGGACACATACGAGTACATGACGGGACAGACACGCATGCTTCTCGCCGGCTGCCCGCGGCCGGTCTGCCTCTGTGGTGACTCAGAGGACAGCCAGTGCCAGGCAGACTGGGAGTGTACACGTTGCGAAAGTGTTAACACACTGTGTTTTACGAACTGCGGGATGAAGTCAAGCAGTTCATGGAGGTGAAGGAAAAACCTGTCAGAGAACTCAATGATAGCAAGTGGCTGTTTGATCGACTGCGCTCCAGACTGACGGACGCAAACCTGGAAAAGCAGTTGCCAATGGCCCTTGGCAGAAAAAAGGTTCCCCACCCCTGCTTTAAAATGAAGGACTTCCAGTAATGTCAAATACACATTTCTTCCGACATAATAGAACACTTTCTCTAATAAAACTCCAGTCTGAACAGATCCCAGTCTCTAGTAACAGCCAGAAGAAATACTTGTTTTCACAGCAACTGAGTCTCATACAGCTAAAAGAGAAAAATCTGGGCTGTGTGAAAATAATGGTCACCGAGTTAATAGATCTTAAAACAGTTGTTTAAAGTTTAAAACTGGTCCTGGGTTCCAGGATGCTGTGGTCACTATACTGGACAGTGACTGTACTAACTGTGGCTTCCAAATCCTGGGACCAGTGTTTCTGTGTTACTGGGACCTGTGGTCACTACAGTGGTCAGAGGCTGACATGTGCTTCACATGTTGTGCTGAAATGTATGTGTAGCGGCGAGGCTTATTAATAAGGCAGAATTAAGTGTTCTGAGCCTTCCCAAATGAGGCCCCATTTCTCTGTTCATCTCTGTGGTGCAGCCTCAGAGAAACTATTCATGCAGGCTGATTTAAGGTTTCCTAGGACAGCTCCCAAAGGGGGATGCACTTAGCTATACCTGGCTATCATGATCAATGGTCATCCATTGGTGCCTATCTGTCTAGGGAGTGCCAGTTGGACATCTGGACTGCATTCCTAAGTGTCAGGAGTAAGTGACTCATATCTCACCTTGATCAACCAATCAGGGACTGGTAGGGCCGAGTAACCCACGTGGGACTCTGATGCCCATGGAACTTTCAGCCAATCAACGAGCTGAAGTTCCTCCAGGTACAAACAGGCAACACAGAGAACCTGTAGTAGGAGGATTCTGTGGACTTTTCTAAAGGGAATTCAAAGGAGAATTCCAGGGCAGGACGGCCCAGGAGCAGAAGGCTCCCAAGGGCAGGACATTCTCGCAGCACGCCTCCTGACCATCCTGAGACTCAGCCCGGACAACCACGGAACGGCCAGTGTGTCCGAGTGCCAGAACTTTCCTTTGTTCTAAGAGTCTAGAGCGGAGGTTGCCAGAGAGTAACCAGAGGATCCACCCGAGGTTAGCACCAGCAGCAGGCCTCGTGAACAGGTCGGAACTGTGGACAGCTGAATCACTATTCAGAACTAGCTCTTCATCAGGAATGAACCGGTCCTCTTCCTGACTTGCTGGGACCCACAGTCATCTTTTCTCCTGTGCACAAACTGTGCTAGTTAAAGCCAACACTAACTAGCTGGTCAGTGAGCATCAGCAGTGCACCGTCGCAAGCTGCACAGCACAGCCTGGCACGGAGCCAGAGAGCGCGGATTGGACAGCAACAAGCCTGCAACTGTTTCTTTGTGCCCGCAGGAGATCTGAATCCCCAGAGATTGGATGAGTATTCAACTTCAATGCATTACAGCTCGAGAATTCAATTGTTATCCCAAC